AAGTTGATTTTTTTAATCAATATCTTTTTTTTTAATTTTTTATCATCTTTTTTGTATTAGTTAGTATATTATATTATTAGAGATTTGTTTCAATTATATTTTGAAATATTATAATTGAATTTTTTTAAGATGCTCTTTTTTAGTCATTTTACATTCTTATAAGCTAGTTTTTAACAAATATGATTTGTTCATCAACTATCAGTTAGCTTATAAGCTAACAACTATCTTATCAGCCATCATTTAGGTTATCAGTTACCAGTTAGCTAATTTGCCAAACATAACCTAAAACCACCAAAAATCCTATTTTAATATAGCAGTCGGAGATGATCTAAAAACAAAAGTTGTCAAATGTTATTTAGACAACAATTGACGGAGAGTTAAAGTCTGTTTTCTCTACCACAAAATTTCCAAAATTCCGTATGAACTACTACTACTCCTTAACTAGTGTGACGTAGCAATACAATTTTTAAGAAAGTATATTGGACTTAGTTAAGATATAACATAAATCGGTTAATAATTAGTAGATATAATGTAAAACAATGAATATATTTTTTTTAAGTTGTTTTCATGAAACACGTGAGACACGATTTTTACACATGAAACTTTATAGTGTTTTTGCTGTGAAGATTCGGCTTTTTTTTTACCTTCACAACATTTTGTTGTGAAGTTTTAAGTGTAAAAATCGTGTCTCACGTGAATCCAACCCTATGTGTGTGTGTGTGTGTGTGTGCGTGTGTGCATGCGTGTATATATATAAGGGATGAATGACGTCAAGGCAATGCAAAGCAAATAATTTGAAGTTAAATAACGATACATGACGTAAAAACAAAACTGATAAAAAGTATGGAAACAACTACGACCAAACACGAACAAGTAAGCTATGGAAGAAATTATTAAACTCTAATGGCCTACTACTGAAATGATCTCAAATTGAGGGAAATAAATAAATGAGATAATTACTCTTATCAATAGAATTTTAACCATCATAAATTTGCATTTTGCTCTCAAGTAAGGCTTGTATCAAGACAAATTACTCGAAGACAGAGATTTTAAGCATAATAATAGGTATCGTTATAGTTTGTCTCCGCAACCAATGACAGAGATTGAAAGATATGAGAAATAGTGGAAGGCAAGAAAACCCACCAACGTAATTGAAAACGTTGGAGTTAAGTCTAGAAATAAACTGTTGTTTACAAAAGGGGGAGGCTAATGGCACCCTTATCAATTGTCATTGGCACCCCTAATGCTATTTTAGTTATTATTATTTTTATGGTTTTTAGTGTTTTTTTTGTCCTTTTGTTATTATTATTTTTTGTCTTATTGTT